CCCCCCCGCACGATCGACCGCCAACCCGTATTATGTAGGATATTTCCGACCGGACGATATCCCTCTGCGAATTCTTTAGCCGACGTTAATGAAATTTAAATGGCGTGCTTTAGAGAAACGACCGATCGAATTTTGCAAATAATTATATTTGCTCGATTAGAAACGCAGAGCAAATATTAGTTAGAGAAAATATTGTTTCAAGATAAATAGAAATAATAAGACGAAAACTTTGCGGGAAGAATGAGTATTCTGTCAGTAAAGCTCTCGAATATGGCACAGCCATAAAGCTCTATTAGATCAGAAGACTTCGTCGTCAGCGCGATCTCGCTTGGGATTTCGATACTGCGGACAGAACACGCGAGAACAACTGCAGCGGATAAAGTAACGATCTCTATTTCCGTTTATATCGCTAATTCAGGAGGTCAGCTTGCGAAGACCGAACGCTGTTATCAATATCCCCGATAAAGTCTCTCGCCCTCCTCCTTCTTTGTCGAAATGAAATTTATCGTCTCGTAGATAAGAATTTATTGTTTCGGCAGGAGACGACGATTGTTCCGCGAGTCGTAAATAATACGCGGAATTGTATGACAGGAAATAAAAAACAAGATAACGGAGCGTTGAGCGTCGTAGAAAATGGCGAGCGATGGAACGAGCATAGACGGTTGCGGGACGGTTGCGACAGCTTTTCTTTTTTCATATACTTCAGAAAACACAAAAAATACGATGAAACGAACCTAGGATTTATGAACATACGCGGTAGATAGTCAGGCAGCTGTCAAAACATTACACATTTGATTTGAAGTATATAAGAAAAAAAAACTGTTGCAACCGTCCGGTGACCGACTATACAGACTGCAGTTTTGCGCTCCATTCGAGCAAAGACCTCCCTCTTGCAACATTACCACCGATGGAAAAGTCGACTTCGAGCCGGTCGAAGATCGAGAAAGGCGGAAAGTGGCTCGCTAGGTCTGGGACGCCCCGTGTAGACACACGTGAACTTGGAGAATGCTTTAGCATTCACCTTGCGCGTTTAGCGCTTTCTATAGACCCGCTATAAGCGCACCGGCCGGTTTTATTCGCGGCGTTATTCGCGGAAATAGATATATCGAACGAGGTATCAAACGGAGACACACCGGAACGCGCCGTATCGTGTAGAGACGAGAAGTTCGATCGCAGTCCCGATTCCACGGATGACAAATGACGGAATTCGTGCATTCACCACTCGCGCTCGCTCTCTTTCTCTTTCTCTATTCTATTCTCTTTTTCCTTGAAATTTTCGCGAAGCGTCATATCGCGCATCTTACGTAACAGTCCTATCTGATAGCGCCGCTGTTTTGCACGTGCAATTAATTATACGGTGATAAGCATCGCGAACGACTACGTAAATAGACACGACGACGAAGCAACATGCGCAGCGTCAGTATTGTGCAAAAAGTCTGGCAGAACTGCGATCGAATCGCTTTCTAGCAGCGCAAGTTACACGCGAAATTTCTGACAACGAAAGGGTCGGTCGGAAAATTCAACTCGATTGTCGAGTCCGACTCCGTCGCATTTCATAGCAACGACGATTATTTCCAAGTATTAAGTAATAACGGCTTTGTTTTCGTTTTATCGAAGAATAAATTATTTATAAGCCAGCAAGAGCCTAGACACGGACGTTCCAGCGCCATTTTGAATTTTCATAACGCTTATCCTATAATAAGGAATCAAATATGTCACGTTACGGTCAACAGGGAGCGCAAATAAAATGTTACTCTGGGAATTAAAAAAAAAAATAAGTTTTAGCGTTGAAGGTTTTAAAGCTGATTCTTCGTGTACGATTGCCGATTGAAAGAACGAACGTACGTTTAGTACACGATTGAACATCCCAGATAACATTGAAACGTCCTAAAACGTCGTAAACGCATCTTTTAGAAATAAGATTATCTAAAAAAAAAAAACGCTTCAAAAAAGTCTTTTAGACAATAAATGTCTAAAAGACGTTTCAAAGACGTGTTGTTCGGGATGTATCTTTCCACAAATAATATCAACTGATATTAACTGTATATTAACCCTCCATTAATCGCAATATTCAACAGATATTCTAATACTTGTCAATTTGTTCTTTGCTACTTTTTACATATTTCATATATTTTAGTCTAGCGCCAAGTGCTAATGAAAGAAAAATTGCTGCAAGAAGTAGAGGAAAAGTAATGAGAAAATTGGTGTATCTGTGAAACACATTACGATCGTGAATGATAAATATTGCGACTTACGGAAGATTGATATTAGGGTCGTTAGCAATTTCGATTACCCGGGTGCCCGAATCTATCACTAACTGAATGTATGGCTAACTTCAGACGTTTAATATTACCTGTTATCGTTAGCAAAATCATTAGTTTTTAACGTCTGGAAATAGCCGTATACTTAATTACTAAAAGATTTTTTTTACTAATTACTAACTAGTAAAAAATATAGACGATGAAACTCGAATTAATTACGAAAAAAGGAACGGCCTCGAAGAGAATAAAGAAGCGGACGGCTCCCGTCACGTTGAAACTCGTAAAACTCGGGCGACGACCGAAATAAACCGCCAGTTTCCTTTTTCGGCCGCCCCTCCTTCCCTCGGCACATATTTGCCGAAAAGAGAGAATATCGAGGACGATCTAATCCGCTTTCCCAGCGATAAAGGGCGCATCATCTGTTACCCGAGGCTGTCGCAGGTATGTCGTCATCCGCGAATAAAGAGTAGCCGGGCCTGCTGTAGAAGAGCGAATGGAGAGGAAAACGAGCGAGGGTGCAAAGGGAGAAGAACGAACGGACGGACGAACCGGAGGAAAGGGTGGATAAGCGTGGAGATGAAGCGCAAGCGGGGGATGAAAGCGACTCGGCCGGAGGAAGGAAGGAAGGAAGGGAGAGCGCAGTGAGCGAGCAGCGAGGGTGGCTACGCGCATCCCGCGCATGCTGTTTCGCCGAGGGTGACCGAGAGACAGGGATGAACCATGGGAGTTCACTGGGGTGAGAGGAAGAGAGAGAGAGAGAGAGAAACACGCCTGTGTGTGTAGGCGTTTAGTCTCGGTGAACCGTGCCGAGGTGAATAACGCGCTGCGCGCAACCCCGGTTCCGCGTTTTCCGTCCCGACTGAACCCACGATCCTGTGACGCAATATTTTCCCCACGTTGATCACCACCTTCGGCGAGACGGCGCGCCTTTCTCGCCAATCCTGTCCCGGGTGAAGAGCTGGTGCGGCAGAAATTAGGATCGGCAGCCCGGCGGACGACGCTTCGAGATGACGGACGGTAAACGAATGAAGTCGAGAGCGAGGAGATCCTCGACGCGGGGGAGGTCCCGAAGGACCTCGTCGGGACGACGCGTGTGATATCGGGGATGTGACTGTCGGTGTGTGACGTCGTTAGGTGGCGATTTTCGCGAACTCGAGCTGTGAATCGGACGACGCGAGCCGAGGGGGAGTCGTGTTTCGCGAATGACGTTGGCAGAGCGAGGAAGTTTATCAGGATCACGATCGCGATGAGGACGCTGGTGTCAGGGAGGATTTTTTTCGCGGAGATCGCGATTCGCGAAACGGATGACGCGAACGGAGAGAAAACGCCGTCCCGCGGCGTGGAGATCCGAAGGGGGGTCGCGCTGGCGGCGCGTCTCGGATCGGAAACGCGGAGTAGTAATCTCGATCTCGATCTCGTCAGTTTTTCCACTAGGTTTCCCTCCGTGGCGCAGCGATTTCAATCGCGCTCGCGAATCGCCGTTGAGTCGTACACGCACAGGTGATCGGAGGCGTTCCGGCGGAGTTGTCACTTCTGGAATGTAGGTTGTGTGTGCACGTATGACGTACGTATATCGATCGGCAGCTCGTAAAGCAGCCGAAGGCATCGGTAGGATCAATGACAATTGCGAGCGCTCACTGATATACAGGTATACGCAGGTATAGCTGAGCTCTCGCGTGAGTATCCTCGTGAGATCGCCTTAAGCAAAGCTGCACGTCGGATAATCCGAGTGCGTTATTTTTACGCGCATAAACATCTTAAGATGACTCATCCGACTGAAGCTCGTTTTACACGTTTTCCTCCCTGCCGTTTTAGATCACACCCGTTTGAAACGTATAATCGTATTGAGCGACGTGACTTAAAGCAGCAGGGAATGTGTAAGAAAAATCTCAGGTAAAATAATAATATACTTGGATTTGCGATGCAAATTGCGCAGCGCAATGTACTGCGCAGTTACGGAATTGCCAAGATCACGGGAGGGAGATTGCGAATTCCGATTTGACACGAGCGATTAAAGCAACTTGGATTCGCTTCTCTCTCCTCTCGAGACGAGTGACCTTCGGGTCTCGTAATCCGGAGTAATCCGTACGTGCGTGCAACAGTTGTCACGTTAGCCGCTGATTCGCTCGAATGTCGCGCCTCTGATTTATTTATCACCGCGCAGGAAATTAATTACACATAGAAAGAGAAAATCGCGCGCGCACGTTTTTTCCTCGATGCATATCAATACATACACTTCCGCGATGAAAAACAACAACGCACGCGGCCCCGTGCGATTAGATTAATTGTATCGCATATGTCACACGGCTGGTTCGTGCTATGTACATATGTAGGCGACGTTCAGCGAGGACTATGCACGATAGAAAAGATTCGATTCAGTTTATACCAGACAGTGAACAAAGCAAATTAGCGTCTTGGTCGAGGGAAACGGAATTTCTGACCATGAGTGCCAAATTTGGACCATAAGATCCAGAAATTTCGTTTCCTCCAATCAAAACGCGTCTGGCTTGTTCATTCCGCCCGGTAAATTCCGCCAAACTTTTTCTTGAATCATTGTAGCTTTAAAGGTTGGGAAAAAGCCCGGTTTTTTTAATTTTTCCGCGATTCTTTCCGGTTCCTCTCCGCAAAGAACGTGGAAAAATGTTTTTGTTTTTATTCTTTCCAAGGATTTTTTGGTTTCTTTCTGCGGAAAAATGGAGAAAAGCGGTTTCTCTTAAATTATAGTAAAGACTGATGACTCGTTTTAGCCCCTCACGATGATATCGCTGGGTGATGTCGCTGTTTGAACGATTGCTAATCCGATGAATACTGTACAATGCACTCTTTGTCCCTATAGCGACGAGAACGATGACAACATGCCGGGGAAGGGGGAATTATACAGGGCGCGCCCCTTCGCACGAAATTATTTCGTATTCCGCGTAATGACGCACATTAGCGTTGTCTGCGAAAGTTCGCGAGTTTTCATTATGCGAATGAATGAGTCATCATACCTTCACGAGAGGGGAGAATTCTTTTTCCGAGAAAACCATACGCGATATGAGCAATGAAGTTTAAGGACGGGAGAACGAAGGATTGCGATTGCCGGCCATGTGTGTGTATTTAAATTTCCGTATACATTTCGCAGATACATTTCGCAAATAACGTAATGTTTCGACCATTATGCGTGGTTCCTTCATTTGCAACACATATGTGGAATAATCAGACAACCGTATTCAATGGTTGGGACATTCCGTTAATTATTAACGATACTTGCGTGCACGAGAAATTTAAATATAGAATAGGAATTTAAATACAAGGTTTCCTGAAGATCAATGTGTCTTTAACATGACAGATTCTTTTGGATGTTCTAAAACGAAATTTCAAATACAAAAATGTCGAGGGAGGTGCTCTTATTCAATAAAGATCTTTAATTTTCAATAGAACATATCTTTGTCACTAAAACTACAAGTAAACTATAAAAATAAGGTCCTTGAAACTAACCGAAGAAAATAATATTGTCATCTATCCGGTCATTCGAAGTTCAGTTTGCGAGAAGCCGCTTTTTCGGTCGTTCGTATTTCGGAAGCTATTGATGCCTCGACATTTTCGTTAAGGACATACGTTGGTTTCGGGACACCTTGTATATACACGCAATACCTACAATCTTATCGTCCTCTTATACCCTCCCCCCCCTTCATTCATAATGAAACGTACGAATCGATGTAATCTGCGCGTACGGAATTAGTACGCTCGGCTGAATTATTTCGACCACTCAATTTCGTCCGATAATGAGAGAGCGCCGTCTCTTTGGATATTCAAAGAGGCGTCCGCGATCTCGCGGAGATAAGTCGAAGGATGATGACCGTTGTAGCCCAAGCGGGCGCCCGATTATCTGGCGGGAGAGTAAAAGTTAGGTCAAAGTCGGGAACTCCCTGACATTATCGCGCTGACACGTTGTAGTAGAAAAAGTCAACATTATCGGCGGCCTGTGCCGCGACCGGTGACAATTACAGCATACTCGACGTCTGCCGATGTCGCCGTCTTTCGCTATCTGATGTTAAGTTTCGGATGACACGTGCTGTCCGATAATATTCGACTCTCCCGGTCTGCCTGCCTGCTTGCCTGACGAGTGATATAACTGGGAACTAGACCGAAACGTCGTCGTCGTAGTGAAAATTCGAGCGACGTCGTTTAATTAGTTTTCCACCTGTTCGCTCCTCTTTCCTTTCTCTTCATCGACTCCTTCCAATACTCTTCGTTTCAGTTCTTCGATACAATTTAATTTAATTACGCTACTCCCAGTTATATTGAATTACGACGCGTCTCGGAAGCGAGAAATTACATGAAACTTTTTTTCCGATTTATATATAAATGTATACGTCGAGATAAATTGATTTCGTCGGATCCGAGGAACTCGAAAGACTTAAAATCAGAATTTTTCGATCAGTCGTTCTCCTTTCTCTGGGAAATAGTCGAAACGTCTATTTTGAGTAACACCTGGCGTACACCTGGTGAATCATAACGCGAACCGTCATTTTCGACGACTTGAGCTTACAGCACCAATATTTCATTGTTTTTCCACTTGTCACTATTTTTAATTAATTTAATTAATTTAATTAAAAAGATAAGACAATGAATTAAAAGTATGTGTTTTGCAAGGTTATTTTCCAGTTGCCGCCGGGGTAGAGGGAGGGTTAGGATGGGTGGTGACCAAATGAGATTATTTTCTAAAAGGCAAAAGTCTAAACTATATTTCAGTAACGAGATTCAGCCTACCGGAATCTACCTTTACTATAGATAAAAAAAAATGATGTTTTGGAAGACAGATGAATTTGCTGTTCCTACGTAGGAATAGAGGAACGAGATGGGTTAATAATTATTTCAAAACATTATTCTCGTTCCCTTTTAAACTTCGAGTTGCAAATTATTTATGGCCGATGAGTGATAGCAGTGTTCTCTCGGCACATAGATGCAGCGAGGAGAGGCCTGCACGTTACGTCTAATTATTATTAATGAGCCGTCCTTATGTATCGTCTTTCGTTGTTGCAGCGGACGACAGCGCGGGGAGCGATTCGACGACATGCGGCAACATCCTGGTCGTACTGTCGTGGATCATAGTGATCGTCACGATGCCGTTCTCCCTGTTCGTCTGTTTCAAGGTGAGGTTCGAGCTTCCTGCGTCCAACAGCCAGGCACAGCAAATTCATCGTTCGAGAACACAGTAGATCTCGCCGCTAGCAGCGGCTCGGGCGCGGCCGTTTTAATCCTTTATGTGGCACATTTTTTCCACCTGACTGAAATCTTGCAATTTTATGTTTCTCGTTGTTTACAAATCTAAAGTCAGATTTCAAAGATTCGAAATGGCAGATCCAATATGGCTGTTATATAGAGGTAAATTAGTGCAAGAGTGGCACGAAATTGCACTTTCAGTTTTTTCAACTTTTTAACAGAAAGATAATAGTGTCGGATCTTCTCAAAAAAATGTCTATCTTCACACAGTAGACGAGTAATTTTTTGAATAAAAGATCTAGTGTGCGAAAAATTCGGGAAAAAAATATACGTTATATTTTGGCAGTAAAATTTTCAACCTTTCATCTCAGACACTTTCCAAGAAACCACACTTTTTTCGTGGAAATCGCTCTTTCTTTCAACTTCACTTCTTTATAAATAATTAGAAATAAACAATCGGATATAAAGACCATGGAAAATATGTGAAGTATTAATTAATATGTCAAAAAAACGTGAAATCATAATTGCTTTCATTAAACTGTGAGCAGTAAATCGTAAAAAAAGGGAGAAAGGCGGGAAGTATACTTCCCACTGGCCACACAAAGGGTTAAACAACAAACAATGTTAGCCCCACGTAACTATAACTACCGGCCAGGCATTTATAAACCGATATTCGCACGGAACGCTCGCAGTCGTTCTCTCGCGGTGACCTTATTGTTAGATCGCGGGTCATTGCGTGATATGCATCGGGGCGCATAACGACCGTCACGCGCTCGCTTCGTTAACACGCCATATACGCGGCTCGGCGCATCTCATATCAGCGCGAAATCTCTCCTCTTTCGCTCTTTCTCTCTCGCGTCGTTTCGCATTAAATAATTAATCCCGCGATGAACGCAGTTATCGATTCGCGTCGATCGCCCCAACGGGAGTCGCAGTTGATTTCTTGATCAGTCGCGTGGATAATTGGCGTGTCGGTTAAGAGAAGTGTAGCGGGGGAAAATGATGGTTAAAAGTGCCGCTGGTGCGGCTTGAATTTGCAGGTCGTGCAGGAATATGAGAGGGCTGTCATTTTTCGGCTGGGTCGTCTTCTGTCCGGCGGCGCCAAGGGTCCCGGTAAGATTTACACGTGGCGAGCGTAATTCGTTTGTTAATTGGGCCACGTGAGGCGCATCGTCGCGTGAGAGAATATTTTACATCGCTCGGTTGTAAACATTTTCCGGATCGATAGGGCTGAATAATTCGGTGGATATTTATAACGTCCTTCCAGAGCCGCTCTTCCTTCCCTTTCTCTATCTTTCTTTCTCTCTCTCTCTCTCTCTCTCTGTCTTACTTTTACTTTTTATTGAGCAATTATTGAGCCGTCAATTATCGGGGAATTCGCGGGGAATCCTGATCGTACGCGTGCTTTCAGGTATCTTCTTCATCCTGCCGTGTATCGACAATTACGCGCGCGTCGACCTGCGAACGCGAACTTACGACGTGCCGCCGCAGGAGGTAACTCGAGTCGCGAGCGAATGAGAATCACGGTGGACACGCGTTGCTCCGAAAGATCGAAATTTTTATATTTGAAAATTGGGACAATTTCCTCAAGTATGAGAAAAAATTGTTACGTTCAAGACATCCGTTTGTTTGCTCCAAAGGATATATTTATCTCAATTAAGGACATTTCATTAAGTCCGAAGAATTCTTTTTCTTTGTGTATTAACGCATCCGGCTGTACAACGAGACAGTTCACGTTGTTGAGGCTTGGAGCGATCTTTAAGTGAAAATTAATTAAATTCACTTAATTTTTTTATTTAATTCATTTAATTAAGAAAATTAATTTAATTAATTAACTAATTAAATTAATTTAATTTTCCTTCAAACAAATTTTAACTATTTTAACGAATAAGAACAAAAATTATGTGTGCTAGGAACAATAAAATCATATTAAAAATGACAATCCCGATATCTCGAGAAATAATCTCGAGATATTCAGATTTCATATTATATGACTTTTCGGGAAGCAGTGCCGCTCTTTAAATTTACGGTGGATACTTATTCGGAGCAACGTACGTCCACCGGGATCGCTAATTCGTGCGCACCGTGCGCGAATTATCGACCGACAGGCGGACATTAGGAGAGGCGTTTCTAATTCACGATGTTCGCTCAGGTTCTGACAAAAGACAGCGTCACCGTGTCGGTCGACGCGGTGGTTTATTACCGCGTGAACAACGCGACCATCTCGATCGCGAATGTGGAGAACGCGCATCACAGCACGAGACTCCTGGCCCAGACCACCCTGAGGAACACCATGGGAACGCGACCGCTTCATGAGATATTGAGCGAGCGCGAAACGATCTCGGGAAACATGCAGGTGAGCGTGCTCGGGCGAATTTCGATTCGACTTAATTGCGGGGGAAAAATATGCCCCGGTTGAAATATGCATTAACGATATCTCGTCGAGTGGAACAAATTGCTTGTGTACTAATCGTGCTTTAAAACACCCGCTCGGGTGGTATTTTCGGCCGTAGGTCGCCTTGGACGAAGCCACCGATACTTGGGGAATCAAGGTAGAGCGGGTCGAGATGTGAGTATAGGGGGTCGATCGTTCGCGCAATTATTAAGTGGGAAAATTCGGCTCGATTCCCGCGTTAGAATTCATTTTGACGCGTTCAACGAAATTATTCATCGCTGTCGTTACGTCCATAAACGTTCCACCATTAATGAAAGTGTATTGTTTTTCCGTACGACGGCAACTTTTTCCTCGGTTTATTTGACAAAATGAATGGAATCCATTCATCTCCACCTTGCATCGAAGAAGGCCGAGAATCGAGCTGAATTTTTTCATCGACCCGATATGCACGCGCAGTTACGTAAGAAACGGCGAATCCATTCGCGCGGATATTTACAGCAAGGACGTGCGGTTGCCCGTTCAACTGCAAAGAGCCATGGCAGCGGAGGCCGAGGCAGCGCGTGAAGCGCGCGCTAAAGTAAGAAGTCGATGAAATGAAATTCGTCTTAACATATCTGGGACATTTATATCATTTTGACGACAATCTCTCGCCAGGTAATCGCCGCGGAAGGTGAACAGAAGGCCAGCAGGGCTCTGAGGGAGGCGTCGGAGGTGATTGGCGACTCGCCGGCTGCCTTGCAACTTCGTTACTTGCAGGTAAAGAACAATTTATCGTTGGATTGTCATTTTTATGGGCCAATAAAAACCTATATACAGTTACTGTGATGCAATTAAGTAAGTACCCAGGTAACAGAATGACGTCAGAGTGCGTTATATTGACGTTATATTAACGTCAGAGACGTCATATTGACGTCAATATAACGTCATCTGACGTCACTCTGTTACTTGCGTATTTTAAAGTAAATCAGAGGTACTTATTCTGTAACGTACGTACAGTATAATTCTGTAAACAATTATTACTTGAATGTTTCACGTTGACGCAATTTTTTTTCAGTGTACGCTATACAATAAATACCTGCGAGTAGTTTACCTTAAAATACTTACTTAATTGCACTGCGACAACTATGCGCTCTTATCGGCCCGTAAAAACCTCTCAACTCTTGATTAAATGTCAGCAGAGTCGTTTAACCGTTTGAGTGCCAAGAAGCGATTTTGCGCTTTTCTGTTTCGCTCGAAAAGTGTACCAGCGTTCTAGGCTGCGAAGCCGATAACCGGCACACGCTCGGCTTCTGTCGATGCGCGACTTTCATTCCGTTTTAGGTAAAAATGAAATAATGAGAAAACTGATAAAAGAACGAATTTTAATTGCAATCTAATATTTGGATGCAATCATCGGAGAATAAGACAAGCGTTATCGCGCCGTTTGGCATTTCTGGATGGGGAATAAGACAAACGAAAAAGCGCTCCTTGGCACGTTTGGACGGGGAAACAGCAAAGACGCGTGGCACTCAAACGGTTAAAAAAAAAACCTCCGATTTATCATTTTCAATCGAACGTCAATCAGTCGGACGATCGATGACGATCGATTCGCGACACGCGGCTCTCCCTCGCGCGTGTTTCTCATACCTCTCGTTTGCCGTCGACTCTAGACACTGAACACGATATCGGCGGAGAAGAATTCCACCATCGTATTCCCGCTGCCGATCGACATGCTGACTTACTTCATGAAAGCTTTACCAAAAGAATAATCGCGCATTGGGGGATCGTCGCGGGACTAGAGACGGAACGATCGTTCCCCCGGGATCCTGTTTGCGGGGTCGTGGATAAGGAGTTTCCTTTCGGCAAATTATATCCATATATCTGACACGCTTGTGTATACATCTCAACAACAAAGAAAGAAAGAGAAAGAGAGAGAAAGAGTTGCCAATATTCGACCAATCTCAACGATTTTCCACTCGACAGGCTGTATACGTGTATATTATAATCGCGAAGATAAGAAATTACGACGTACGTACGTTTTCACGATTGACTCGGGCGCGGAGGGGAGGAGGGAGGCGCACAGCATAGACTGAAACGTATTTTTGGAAAATCTTACAACGTTATTTTACATGCGTTTACATGCTGTAAAGAGTATAGCATATGTTTATATATGCATGTGTAGAATGTGACGCGAACGGCTTTACGATGATGTTCGAGAATGAATTTGAATCATAGTTTCGCGCGTTTGCGATGGGTGTCCTTCTCGTGAAACTGTCGCCGGCGCGCGGCGATACTTTCACTCGCGTCGGGTATACGATGTATATTTGTATACTTGATTGAGCAAAGACAAAAGGAAAAAAAAAACGAGAGAGAATCAAATAGCGAAATAAGGGGAACGTACGACGGAGTCGGTGAGGGAAGATTGAAGAGTCGATTACCAAGCCGCTTGCATCAGACCTCGCACTGCCACTAACGCCAGTCTTATACGGAGGGCGATCGATCTCGCGATAAACTCGGTTTTTAATGTAATTTCCACGCGGATAATCGGTCACACGATGAAGAGGAAAAAAGAAAGAAAGTCCGTTTCTTAGCACAGTCATGGCAATTTGATTAACAATTAAGGGAACAGTCCTTTCCACGGTGTCAATTTCGGCGATATGCACGATCAAAAGGAAACTGTTATCGACCAATAACGGCTTTAGAAAGAAAGAGAAGAAAAAAAGACGAAGAAGAAATGAATTTGCGACACTTCGCCTATTCGCCACGGTACTAAATTGCACTTTTACGTCGAGCAAAATGGAAAGCAATTCAGTCGTTCGTCAATCCAGGGTATTTTCCTCAAGCCTTAAGGATATTACCGTTAATTTTATACGTCACGCGCGCTACGCGTGAAATGTTCATACTTGAGCGGCCTGCGACGATTGCTTGGTCCAACATCGGCAACTCTTGCTAGCGATAACTACGCATCAACTGTTCACTCGATCACCGGTACATGCGCTTTATGACGTCTCTACGACCTATCTCGCAAAAAGGAAGATCGTGTTATAAGTGTATAAATGTGTTATAAGTGTATAAATGTATAGAGGGGAGGGGGGCGGGTGATCTCTCGGAAAATTCGCAGTATTATTTCCTTCGTAAAGTACGAGACGATTGAAAGTGAACGAGCAACACCTCCTATTTGCTATAATGATATAACCGTACAGGGTGTTGCATCAACATACGACTCATTACGACGTGTTGCCTGCCCAAAAGTGGACGCGTTCAGATGATAACTTCGAATTTGTCGATATAGTCACTCAGATATCTTTCTAACGAAATTATAGCGTTCCAAATTATCATAATTTCAACGGATTCGCATCACGGATCGGTTAGGAACCCAACATTGTATGTATAAAATATTTAAAAGTATAAACATGAAGAAGCATGGGGTTAAACGGAATAACTTAAATTGAAATTATGATAATTTGGAACGCTATAACTATGTAACTATATAACTTTATTGGAAAGGTATTCGAGTGACCATATCGACAAATCCGAAGTTATCATCTGGAAGCGCGCACCTTTGGGCAGGCAAGCCGTCTTAATGAGTCGAATGTTGATGCAACACCTTTTACACGATAACGTTGAATCATCGAAAGGTACGCGCGTGTGTGCCGCGTGTCTCGTCAGCGTGTTGATACTTTCCACGCACGCAAGTTCATTGTGTGCATCGAGGGGGAACAAACGAGTTTTCATATTATATATGTATATTAACGTTAGCTGTTTAAAAGGCAGATTATATTGGATTATATTGAATGTGAGCGATAAAAGAGTATTATACCAAGATATGTGCGCGCGATCTCTTTGGAAGACTCATAACGAAAATTCACTGCAACTGTGATGGATCAGGCTTCGTAGAATGAAACGCGGGCTCGCTTCTCGACAGCGAGATATGTTATATTCTGATTCGTATTTTCGAATAGAGAACGTTTCGATCGATATAAGATAATCACGAGAGAAACAGAGAGAGAGAGAAAGAGAGAGAGAGAGAGAGAGAGAGAGAGAAAGAAAGAGAGAGAAGATCGTGATATATCACGCGATGAGATGACACGGAGATTAAGCTGTAATCTGTGGTTTTAACGTTGTTTCCGTCTTCTGACGCGACTACGTGTATACATAAAGAGAAAAAAAGAAAACAGTAGCGTCGTTCTGCATACTCTTACACACATAGTATATATACACATGTATGTATATTACCATATTACGACCGTTTCAAGTATATCACCGGAGTTTCGTCGTCTCCTGAGAACGAGATGGAGAAAGCTACCTCTGCTTTTGTTATATGTATAAATGCATATGTACACATTTGTCTATAGCGTCAACTTGCATATGTACACATTTGTCTATAGCGTCAACTTAAGTTACGTTAGATTAATTTACCACTTTCACCGGATCGGAAGAGTCCATCGACTCGGCGCGGACGTTCGTGACACAAAAAGAAACCGAAAAAAAAAATAAGCGCGAATATAATTATATACGTGTGTTCTAATCGTAATATATATATATATATATTCTACCGCTATATATATTGTTATTCTGTACAGTTAATTGACTAAACGGTTACGGTAGCACGATAATAATAATAATAATAATCTACGATGTAATTTTACCGTCCCTTTATCGTTCTCGATATTTTATTGACTGTTACACTTCTCGTGTGCAATATCGGTTTCGTCTGTAATTACTATACACGATATATCTGTCAAAGGTCCGAAGAAGGATGCGCGTCTCTCCCGGTCCAGCTCGATTTTTTTTTTTCGTAGTATCCTGCGACTATGCGATTGCTCTTTGATCTACACGCGAGTGTGTATGTGCGTAACGCGGTACATCCGATGAAACGGATTCTCAATCTCTCCTTTTTCGTCTCTATTTTTTAATTATTATTTTTTTTTCTATCGGGAAAGGTACGCGTCGGTACCTTTTGATTTGTACGACAGCACATTTTCATAAAACTGAACTATCAGTCGTTTTCTAATGCGAACTCTTCGTATATTCAACGTAGTTAAGAGTAAAGATATGTGTGTTAAAAAGTTTCGAAATAAAAATTGAGATTCTGCAAACTTACGTTTTTGCTCTTCCCGTTGTACTCAACGGCGTGTGTGCATATGTATGTGTGTTTATGTGTATGTGCTTTGTACAAGCGATGGCCTTCATCTTAATTTCGTCGTGCAGGGTTGTTGCACGTAGTTGAGACAGAAGCCTCTGTTCCCGACGTCGCCGGGCGCCTCGATGTTGTCCGTGTGGAAGATCAATCGGAACGGCTTGACGGTGCCTGAAAACCGAGTGTGATCGAGCGTGATCACTCGAGCGGCACAAATTGCTTGGTTATCCAAGGTTTGGGCAACGGCATGCTGAGAAACACGCATGCTAAATTCGCTGCTCACAGATACGCCAGTAAATATTTTCCCGCCTTCTTCGTCACTTTACGTATTTCCGTTCGATCCAATCCAATTTTATTACTTCAGCTATTTTTCGCCAAGAAGTGAATATCTTTTTTCTTTGTTCTATCGTTTCCTTCTGTTTATAAAAGAAAGGGGGAATTTTCTCCCCCAGCTGCTAGAAACAAATGAACGAACACTCACTGATAACGGGCGAGCTGTTCAGGTTCTGGGTCTCCGCGTTGAAGGTGCCTCCGCACAAGCGGTCGACGCATATCAGCGGCGCCGTGGACATCCTGCCGGAGTTCGTGGCGCACGGTATCGCCAGCCAATCGGTCAGGCAAGACACCCCGGTCATCGACGCGATCTGCGTGGCCTGCGTGTTCCCGGTCAATGTGAACGCGTTGCTACGCATTATCTGCCCCACCGCCGCCACGCCGGCGGGCATCATCACTTGAGCTGCGACAAACGAACGGATCGCCCTCAGGAATACGGAATGAAGCGAGCATCTCGTCATCTTACGGTCATCCTTTCGATCACTCACCGTCGTCGATGCACGCCATGTACTGGATCCCGCAGAAGTTCCTCTCCATGCGAATGCATATGCTGTAGTCCTGATTCGACAGCTGCAGGCCGCCCGTGGGATCGTAGTTGAAGGACTTGATCTGACCGGAAACTCCGGTGAAGTACTGCAGGCAGCCCTCCTCCGCCCGGTAGATCGTGCTGCACCGTATCTGCGAAATGCGGACTTTCCACGCCCGCGGGAACGAGCTGCCGCTCGTGACGAACGTCAGAGTGATCGGATTCGTCTGCCCGACGCCCGTGTCTATGTACACTGTGAGGAGAGACGGAAAGAAAAAGTATTTAGCTCGCGTCGAGAATGAAACGGCGATTATTCTTATTCTCCCGTCTCACGTTGTCTCGGAGGAAGACAATGTGGAAAGCGGGGGGGAAGGGGGGGGGTTATTTTGAGATACTCACTGTGATTCCCGTTATTATTACCGCATATCGTTGGCACCGGATTGCCGCCGGAAACGATGAATTGATCGTAAGTGCAGACGTTGTTCGTCGTCTCCGGGCCCATGATGTTGAACTGCGGGAAGTCCAATCTGCGGTGGTAAAACGGGGAACGACGATTGAACGACGTGAGGAATATGTTCGAGAAATTTCCATCCTGAGATGTAGACTCGCCCCCGGTCACTCACCGATATTGGCATACATCCGGATGCGACTTCACCAACGTGATCTGACAAGAGTTCATGCCGTCGTAAGAGGACGGGTAGTTCGGGTTGACGAAGTACGTGTTGTTGTCATTGGTCATCGAGCCGCAGGACATCGTGACTGCGATCCGCGCAAATATTTATGGTCAGACATTTATTTATCGTTTCACTGTTTTATTAAATAATTATTGTTTCGTTAATGTTTTTCATAAACGAAAGAGCGGTGTCGAAAGATACGCGGAAAAAAGAAATGCTAGATTCAAGTGAAATTTCGACCTGAGGTAAAATAAGATTCGCTAAAGAGTATCGAAGTAATTATTAATTACTTGAATCCAGTACTTTTCTGTGCGGGCGCGACATAGCAGCGGTTGCGAATTGATCGCATTTCGCAAACGTCAAACTTGATTAGTGTCACCTATACAGCAGACTCCGTAACCGTTCGCGCAAACGCCGCTGGAGGCGCCGCCGCGTTGAGCGCATTCCGCCGCCGCGATACACGTGCCGTTCTCTCCGTTCGAGCCGCCGCAGATGCCATTGTCGAACTTCACCAGCGTGAACAACGAGAAGACTGGAAAGTATAGAAGTGTGAAATATAATATCAGATGTGCGCTAAAGTTTCAGTCTCTTGACTATGCGAAAACAAAGCAGAAAGCTTGCGGGGAGGAAAAAAGGCTGAAACTTTTGCAAACATCTGCTATATGATCGAACCCCAACCGCCATTATTCTCTTACGTCTTTTCTGCCTGGCGACCTGGGTCCGATTGTTCGGAAACTTCGGCGATTCCCACTGGTGCTTCGTCCGCTGACCGGGGCCGCTGTCGTTCGTCTGCCACAACCGTTTGCGGTCGGCGACTCTGTGCCTGCCGCGATTGTTCCAGGCGTCGGCGTGAAGCGCGACGCAACAGACGAGAAGCAGCGCGATCGGCAGGCGGTTTCGCCTCATCTCCGGCGAGATCCTCCTCGAGCGTTCGGCGATTCGGTCCTCCTCGAACCGCCTGCTTCAGCCACTCTTGTACAACTCGAGCCGTGCGATACCGTGACGATTCTCGGCGGACGGACTGTCGCGCATCTCACCGGGCGAGAACGACTCCCTCGTAGCCGAGGTGTGAAGTCCAATATATTCGGAGACACCGTTTACACGGTCTGTATACCAAGCAGCAAATCGTCGTCCGAGACCGGCCGAGTTGGCCGAAGGTGTCCGTCAGGCGCGGAGACGTCGCCCGGTGACACGCGGGGATATTTCAGGGAAAGTCGAGAAATTTAATTGACGGATAACGGCATTGTATTTGTCTCCTGAGTCGAGAGATGGACGCTCCGCTTTCTCGGCGCCGGGGACGATTATGATCGCCGAGACGACGCCGCGATTTCCGCGCTCGCTCTATAAAATGACCCTGCGGGAAGAGAGTCAGGAGCGACGCGGGGCGTCCAAGCGTAATGATCCCATCTTCATTATCCTCCTCGCCGTGCCTCACGCTGCCGCCTTTCTAAATCGTCCTCTGGACGCGACGACCATGGCGCGTAAGTTCCGAGATGCGCGTGGCAGAGCGGGCAGTAATGGTCCGTGTTGTTGCAGGAGTCGATGCAGTAAGGCAGCATGCAGCACGGCCAGCATCTAAGAGAGAGAGAGAGAGAGAGAGAGGAAATAAGTCGCGAGAAAAGTTGCGAGAATGAAAAAAAGTGGCGACTGAAGCGCGTAACCCACGAGGACCGCGCTGTGATGACGTTGAGAGACGTTAATTGCGCGTGCACGAAATGGAATTTTCACCCGTCACTTTCGCACGGGCTCTCGGAGAGGCGCGTGAACGCGCACGGAACTCACCCGAACAGAAAGAGCGTCAAGGCGGTGAGGTGGGTGTACGTGGAGCGACGTACTATCACGGTGGTGATGATCAGCCCGGCGCATCGGGGGCATATCGCCGTCGTCGGCACCCTCGGCCAGGAGCTCCTCGCGCTCGCTGTAAACGAATTCGATATTAGTATACATTGATGCACGATTCTTCTCGGTGAGAAAATGACTCACCCAGGTAGAACGGGGAATGATGATGACGTGAAAATTACGAGAAAATGAGCGACCTGAGTTTTCGTTTCTTTATCATTTATTATTATTATTATTATTGTCTACTTATTCACGAGAGGATTTTCTCCGGTAACAAATGAAGTTCAATATATAATTTTGAAAAATAAAAGATATTGAAATTTATAATGAAACGATCAATTTCGACGTTATCGTGACGTATTCTGTTTTACCTGGGTAATGGCAAGTTTCCCGTTTCGATCGGAAATGTTTGGGAAATAATTATGGCCGTTGACGGATTAAGTTTCTCAAAGCTGATATATCGAGATACTTGGAAATTGGTTTACGGGACAAAGTGACGGACGGATCCACCGTGGATGTTGCCAGGTTAATCCCTTGAGCTTCAGCATAAGAGGGCGGCGGAATTCGCGCTACGGTGGGCGGTCGATCATTGATCGGGAAGATGGACGATCGTCCGTCCGAGCGCGATATCAGACCGATGTGCATGGAGGAGTATGTGGGCGGCGCATCTCTCGACGAGGGAATGTCCTGCGGTATATACGATCGCGTGAGATCGATCGGTAATATATTATCACAGCATCAAGTGATTAATATACTCCATTAAGAAAAAGAGGAAATAAATAAAATTTTTCTTTGGAAGATTTTTCAGAACAAAAGTCGTAATCTTGAAATAGAACTGCTCAAGAAGAAACTGAAGAATGAAAATAGTCTCACCGACCGGAATATGGCGAGTTAAAAACTTGAAAACTAGCCAACTAGAGTTAAAGACAACGTTAAATCTCGAACGCGTTAAACTCCACACTTTATTCGCGAACTGATCGTGCAACCAGTTACAAGACAGTAAAAAAGAATCGCTCTATAAAGCACGTCTCGTGCCAACGACGGACGGTTTTCCCGACGTTGAACGCGCTCGAGATTGTGCGTTCGTAATTCGCGAGTTGTATGCCTCGTATGTCACGGATGATGTACGCCGAAGGCAATTACTGAGTTTCCATCGGCGTCGTCTGCTGCGACAAGACCGGTCGATCAGCGGAAGCGATTGGCCAGTGGGCGGATGAAGCAACGCGTGCGAGGATGAGTACGCGTCCTGTAAGGGCCCGGGCAATCCTGGGGAAGATGAAAGCGAATTTAGCGCGATGTATTCCTCGATTGATTTGTATCGCATTACCCAACATTCGCTCGACATTTTCGGTCGCACCAGTCATCCGCCGTATGTTCTCAATGGAAAATGTTGACGCTGGCTCTCGGAGAGCCATGTATCTCGCGATCTTCCTCGCCGGAGCTACACGTACAAATACACACGGGCGGAATGAGGAAGCGTGTGGCAAGATCGATCCTAATGAGACGGCCAAGAGATACGTGGTGTTACCAGAGCTGACGTTCTCTATCGTTTCGCGTCATGTCGCCCGTGAAAAATGCCGGGAGTGATTACTTTCCCGCATTTTGCCATCGACTCATCCGACTCCGTGAGAATAGGAGAGCCCCGTCGCGGGAGTGAAGAGGGCTCGCATGAATCGCTTGCTCTATGATTTATTATTATTCAGAGACATTATCAATATAGATCTACTCGCTACTTTTCCAAATGAATGAGAAGCCAAGAAAGTATTTAAGAAACGGGAGACATCACACGAAGCACATCAGGTGTTCGCGATCGTATGCGTTAGAAACAAACAAGATGACTGTTCCCTGGTTGAAACGGGATCGCCATTTTCACTACTTCGTAATGATCCTCTGCTGTCACCGTGGAACACTTATCAAGCTTTTGATCATTACCGATCTGATCCGGACTGATTCTCATTTGTACATCGATGCCCGTTAAAACATTCTGAAGATTGACTTCCACTCACTTACTGAGCCCTGTAAGCGGCGAGTCCGGAGGTGTAGAATCTCGACGGTGTTTCCCACAGTCCCTTCATCGTGGATTGTGAGTGGCACGGTTGTCCGTAAGTCGAAATTTCAAATTCCCCGTTCCTCTCGTTGCGTCGGGGCGCTCACGTGCACAGGCACATACACAGGGAGAAAGAGGGCCTCGGTTCGTCTATCTATCGGTCCGCCGGCGTTTGAACGAATCGGACACCGCGCTGCGGCGCTGCCGGACGGAGCGTGCGCCGACGCCATTGCGTGGCAAGCGAGCGAGCGAGCGGCGCGAGAGGCGAGGCGAGGCGAGAACAGCCGAAATGGAGGAGAGCCAAACATCGGAAAGTGTCGCCGTGCTACCGGACATGTCCGAACCGTTGACGAGCGAGACCGAGGAGGCGGCCGCGCTAACGAGCGAGCACGAGGCGCATCCCGTCGCGGTCACGGCGAGCGTCACTACGGTACCGGGCGTTCCTGGTGTTCCCGGGGTCGGTGTGCCGGTTTCCCTGCCTGTGGGCTCCATCATCGGCGTAGCTAACTCTACCAATGGCACGACCTTCAACGTCATCACGCCGGAGCAGCTGCAAGTACGTCCGGAGCCGAACGGCAGCGTCCTGTTCCGCGATTCATGCGTGCGTGCGTGCTGTGTGCCGAATCTCGCGAACTCGCTCGCCAATGGAACGGTCCGTGATGCTGCTTTTTTTCCGAGCGAGTTAAGATCATCCAGGAGCGCGACGAGTGGGAGTGCGCGCCTGTCTAACGCGAGGACGTCTCGTTGTTGTTGCTGGTGATGATGATGATAATGGTGGTGATAACACGAGAAACGCCGCGCTCTTTTTCCCCACGGTGTTCAGTTCGCGCACTCTCGTGATTCAGATCCCTTTGTACTTTCCGGAATCGTCGTCCTCGTGCGATACGGCCTTCCGTGATGCATTCGACATATGTGTATATAAACGCGCGCATGCATACGCACCCACACATGCATGGCATGTTTCATGTACACGGGGTTGGGTTAATCAAGTTAAAAGTTAATCGTACGAAACTAAATATATATATAAACCTAACCTAACTGTTCTTCGAAATTATATTGGTAGTTTTGTATAATTTAATTTTAGCTCGACTTTCAACGATTTAGTTTTGGCTTTGGTTACTTTGGTACTTTTAACTTGAGTAAATTAATGCACAGGCCATTGACTTTTAACTTAACTTCAGAAAAGAAGTTAATTTAGTCCCGATCTACAACAGGTGTGGTAAGCTTTGAGCCGTAAGAAATTGGCCGGTTACAGTCGTATTGCAGAAGAATAATCAATTGTGAACTCGTCTACATCTATTGTAGATCTGGATTTGTCCGATCCTATGATCCGATATGTGACCATTAAGCGTTAAGAGTGTATCTTCTACAGCTGCACTCGGGGCCAGGGCAGCTCCGGCAGATGCTGTGCGTCGACAACGGCTTCATCTGTGAGCCGCGTGGTGACAAGGACACGGATCCCCTGCGTTGGAACGGTGAGCTGAAGGCTACTCATATAGTGATTCAAAACAGCACGGATGAAACAGAATCGGAACAAATCCACGTGTCCACACCTAGCTCCCAGCAGATATACAGCTGGTCCGAATCAGCTAACTTAGCGATACTGCCCGTCAGATGTAAAAACACAAATGCTGAACTGCACAAAAGCAGATTTGGATCTGGCGGCAGGGGACGTTGTATTAAGCTTGGTACAGATTGGTACACACCCAGTGAATTCGAGGCCCTCTGTGGGAGAGCATCTAGCAAAGACTGGAAGCGAAGTATTCGGTTCGGTGGCAGGAGCCTGCAAACTCTTATCGACGAACAGATCTTGAAACCCCACGCCACTTCCTGTACCTGCGCTGCCTGTTGCGACGATGACAATGCAGTAAGTGAATCATTCGTCACTTGTGTTCGCAGTATACTGTGTTGCTCTGACATGATGTACTAGTTAAAGCACATTACTGTCACATTGTGATGTTAAAAGTAACTCATTGAAGTGTCTGTATCTCAAATGAAGTATAATGTCATCTTTCAAGATCAGGTACTCAGTTCTGGTTTCTTGTAACTAATATTGAATAACATCAGCGACATGAAAGTTCGTTTTTTCTTTAGACAGGTCCAGTGCGTTTGTTCACCCCGTACAAACGTCGGAGAAGGAGGGACACGTCCGACGGAGAGGGCGCTCCCTTGCGCAAGCACAAGCAGGAAAACTCGCGGGATGGTAGCAATAATGACGAGAGCGACAATGAAGTCGTCGTGCCTGACAAGGAGGTCTGGCCGCAGTTCGTTTCAACGGACGGCGGATTGGTTGTGCAGCAGCCCCAGGAGCAGGACCCTATTGTGCAGAACGTGCATCAGATCGAGAACGGGCAGGGCGACGATATGTTCAAGAAATTTGACGATTTGTCGGCCAAGATGTTGAAGCTGGCTTATGACTTTAGACGTGCTTTGGATGAAGTGAAGGAGTTGTACAGGCAACAGAGGAGGGAGCAGGCACTGGTCGCGCAACTCGGAGGACGGACGGACGTTATCGAGACCGTAGGACTGCAACCGGCGCCTGATACGCATAACAAGAAGGTAAATTTTGCTCTACAATAGGTGCTTTAAGCCTTAAGAAATTGGGACCGATCACAGTCGAATGTGAGGAGAATAATTAATTGTGATTGGTTAATTTCCTGAGGCTTAAAATACCTATTGTAGACCGGGACTATAAGCTACAAAAAATACGCAACACAGAATTTCTCTCTCTCTCTCTCTGGTTATCGCAGTTACTAATTCGCACGTTTCTTCTTTAGTGTGCCAACTGCAATCGAGAGGCGCAAGCGGAATGTTCCCTGTGTAGACGCACACCGTACTGTTCTACGTTCTGCCAACGTAAAGATTGGGCGAGCCATCAGGTGGAATGTGTTAGGGGCGCGGCCGAGACTGTAATGCTTATAGTGGAAAGTAGCAGTACAGATACGAGCGCGCTTCCAACGACCGCGACGGACCAATAGCTAGTGTTCCTCACGCCAATTCACCAAAGGAATCTAAAGGGCGAGAAGTCTGGCGTGAAAACGGAGTTCAAGAATAAGAATACTTGAGAAGCGTTCAAGCTACAAGAGTTAAAACGGTGTATATATATATATGTAGGCACATGCGGTAGAAGATGTTTTGTACGTACGTTAAGTTAAATTATAAAAAGAAGAAGGAGAAGAAAAACACTCACAACTCTGAAAAGTCTGTGAAGAACTTCGCGGTTTTTGGAAACCATGTCCAGATTCAACGTAGTTACGTAGTAACGAGACAGTATGTCTTTTGTACCGGACGGTATGAAAGTATGCGCATTGTATATACATTGTTTTGTATGATGTTCGGTTTTAGATTAACCCTGGGTCGCGTGTGGTCAGTGGCTACCGATGATTAGATTTAGACAGCGGCCTAAAGATCCAACGACCCGCATGAACACTTCGTCAGTTACGTTTGTGCGATCAGCATGAGACCGATTTGATTAATTCGCCGATGTTACGCGTGAAAATATTTCTAGTATAACTGCATAAACGGCATTTATATACTAGAATATACCACAGATTTACGTTGTTCCCAAGAAGATCTGTATATTCCGATCTTGCTTCATTTCAATCCTTTTATATCGAGAATGATGAAGACAAATGGTAAGTTAGCCGGACGTGATTTACAGACGCTTTCCATCAAGAATGTTTACGTAATGTTATGTTTATGTTATAAATGTTTGTACATATAGTATAACTCCCTCCCCTAGTAATTGGAACATTGGAAATCATCAAATCGGTTTTAAGCTCGTCACGTAAATGTAGATTACAGTATTGCTGGAAGTTTTTTTTTTTTTTTAAACGTGTAATATCGGTGGTTATCAACATTGTAGATTATCAAATACGATATCTGTACTGTTGCTAAAACTCCGTTGGGCTGTTGTATAAATGTAATCATTGACATTTCCGAAAATGCGCTGCAACTTAAAAAAGTTTTAAGTCAGTGTATTTTTATGTGCTGATATATATATATATATATAAATATATAAATAAATAAATATATATATATACATATATATACATATTTATATTTATATATATGCACATATTTATATAAATATATATACATATATATATACATATTTATATTTATATATATGCACATATTTATATAAATATTTATATAAATATGTGCATATATATAAATATGTATATATATATATATATATATATATAAGCACATAAAAAAAATACATATATATAAGCAAATACTAATTATAAAAAGAACCAGGGTTATAAATATTTGCATATAACATTATGCGTTATTTGAAACACACATGATCTAACATGAATTATTTCTCAATGAATGTGCAAACGATATATGACCAAAGATGGCAATCTCGACAAATTCTGCAGTTTTGATGCAGATTTCACAAACTCGGAAGTTACATTTTGAATGCATTTTCACGTCATAATGTATTACATCATCTTACGTTTCTTTGATACTGATATATATTTAGAGCTTACTACGTAAATTCATTTTTATTTATAAATCTTCTCTGCGTAATGTTAATTCTTACTAATATTTAGAGTACAAACAGTATATATATATAAATAAATTCGCGAATACACGTGTATAAATAAATATATATACGAGGGCGNTAGCCTACAAAAGAAAAACGAAAATTTTGGAAAAGTGGCGATTTATTTCTCAACATAGTCTCCTTTTAGTTCGATACACTTGACCCAGCGATGCTCCAACTTCTTTAACCCATCTGAAACATACATTTTCTCGAAGTCTGCAAAGGCCTCCGTGGCGGCGATGACCATTCGACTCAAATTTCTGCCCGGCGAGTGACTTTTTCAAGTTTGGAAACAAAAAAAGTCGCACGGAGCCAAATCTGGAAAATACGGTGGATGGGGCAGCAGTTCGTAGTCCAATTCGACCAATTTGGCCGAATGAGGAGGTCATCGCCGCCACGGAGGCCTACTTTGCAGACTTCAAGAAAACGTATTTTTCAGATGGGTTAAAGAAGTTGGAGCATCGCTGGATCAAGTGTATCGAGCTAAAAGGAAACTATGTTGAGAAATAAATCGCCACTTTTCCAAAATTTTCATTTTTCTTTTGTAGGCTAAGTA